TCCGTAATACTTCACAAAACAATGGATGCGCTACCCGATCTTGGCTCTATATTTTTTGCTTCAGCTCAAGTATTATCTTTAATCTTGACAATGTATGTATGCATCGAACATGTCATTATAACATTATTAACATTTCTGCTATTTATTATTATAGGCATGTTCACAAGTCCTTCTAGTGTGCCTCGCAGGATATCTAGCGGCAAGACTTGAATTAATAACAACAAGCATCCAAAAGGTTTATAAAAAAAAAAAAAAAAATCTTAATACTTTTTGTTTTTTCTATCATATTTTTATTTAATCAATCAATCGTATTCCATTTATTAGGATTTATCTTCTCTAATAATAAATATATTTATGCCATGTTTCTTATTTTCAAATGTTTTTTCCAGTGTTGACATCCAAACGTTAATAAGTCTTTGGCCAATTCCTACCTTTTTCTTCATATTTTGCATAATTAGTTCAGCTCTTGGTTTTTTTGGTGGAAGATTACTAAATTTTGATTTTTCTGATACAAAGTTTATTATGACTGGAATTATTTTCAATAATGTGACAAGTCTTGGTCTGGGTTTGTTAAGAGGTATTGAATATACTGATGCTATTTCGATTTTGAAATGGAAAATTGATGACACTCCAAAGGATATTGTCAGTCGAGGGATTTCATATGTATTACTTGCCACTCTTTGGACTAATTTGTTAAGGTTTGTTGATCATATATAATTATTTTTACATTTTGATTAATTTAATGATTTCTCCTCACTTTCAACTTTTAACTTTCTATGTTCACTTTTTTAGATGGTCTCTTGGTGCATACTTGTTGAAAAGTGATTCAGTTTCATCACAATATAATTTAAATTCCGTTTCATACATCTCTCAGCATAATTTCGATGAAATAGATGATATAAACGACGTAGACGAAAGCACTCCAATGTTAGGATCTAAACAACATGACACTACTTCATCATTGACATTTAAACAAAAGTTGCATTCAATTTGGTCGCGCATAAAGATATCACTCACTTTCAAATTCATGAATCCTCCATTATATGCCGCATTATTGGCATTAGTGTTTGTTGCAATTCCTCCATTTAAATCTTTATTTATCGGCAAAAATGCTCCTTTTATGGCACTTTCACAAGCAATTGAATATGTTGGGTCGGTCTCGGTTCCTTTGACGCTAATAACTTTAGGAGCTCAATTAAAAAATCTCCAGAGTTCAAATAATAAGCGTATTGCCTCTATGATAACTTACGCTTTGACTTGTCGTCTTATAATAATGCCAATTATAGGAACTGTGATGGTTTTGTTAACAAAAAGTTGGTATTTAAATGATCCTATGTTATGGTTCGTCCTAATTTTAATGGC